CATTTTTTGAAAAAAATTTTAATTTTTTTTTATTTTATGGATATTGGTCTTGTAGTGCACATTACAAGCTTTAATTTAAGACCTTGTGGAAGTCTCTAGCACGTCAGGTTAAAGAGAAAAGAAATGTTGAAAATCCTAAATAAAGCGTTTTTGGGGTCTTTACCCCCACTTTTCTCAAAATCCTGACGTGATGGGCAAATTTGGAAGTCGGGATCGTGTTCAGCGTCCAAAAATACATAGGAAACCATTCCGCTATCTCATAAAAAAAAAGTAAGTCTTTTTTTGTTGACCTGTGAAATCTGTCAAACTGAGATGAAAGTTAAAAATTTATCAGAGTGAAAGTGAAAGAAAATTTAACAAAGTAAAAATGAAGTTGAAAATAAATATCTATCAAACTTAAAGCGAAAGTGGAAATAAATATAAGAATAAAAGAGAGATAATAAAAAAAATGTGAAAGTAAAAATGAAAGTGAAAATAAAATTGAAAACGAAATTCTAACTTATAGATTTATAGTGAAAATATAAATCTGTCAAAGTGTAAATGAAAATCTGTCTATTGAATGTTAAAATGAAAATGAAAATAGAAGAGAAAATAAAAATCTATAAAAATAAAAATGATAATAAACGTGAAAATTAAAGTGTAAATATGAATCTCTTAATGTGAAAGTAAAAATGAAAATAAAATTAAAAATGAGAATCTATCTTATAGATTTATAGTGAAAATATAAATCTGTCAAAGTGTAAATGAAAATCTGTCTATTGAATGTTAAAGTGAAAATGGAAGTGAAAATAGAAGAGAAAATATTACCTATTTCATATTGGGGTAATATTATAAGGTAATATTGGGGTAATATTACAATTAACAGTGGGGCAGAAGTACATGTAACAGTGGAGTAATTGCAATTAATTTTGTTCGCAAAAATTCCTACCTCCAGCAGGAATCGAACCCCAGTGCACACTATACAGAGTTTCGCCACAGTCAACAACGCTAAACACTCGGCCATACGAACGTCACAAAAAATAAACTCAAAACTTACTTTTCTCTCATCAAATAATTATATTTTTCTCAAACAATTTATTCCAAACATGAACATTTACTATCGTCGACAAGAAAATTAATTATCTTACAATAATGGAATATTGATACTTTATATAGACTCCGATTGAGATTAATGACATATTCGTATAAATGTATATAAAATAAATACAACCCCTCAGAAAATTTACCTTTATACATATACATCGAAGGACTAACGATTGTTTGCAGTTCTGTTACCACTGGTAACGAATATACGACAATTTTTTACCGCATACACGAGCGGGTATTTTGATTTAAAAAAAAAAAAATATTGCTCTATGGGGAAAGGGAAAATTTTAAGATTCTTAACGTGATCGAGCACATATCAGTTAAAATGTAGAAAAAAAAAGAACTGAAATGGGCGAGGTGAAGAATGAATAAAGATCAGACGAAGGGAAAATGTGGATCGCTGTGTGGCACGTGAAGAAAGTTGAACTCTTTGGGGTAACGGGGGCAAGGTGCAAGTGATATTAGGTATAGAAACGCATGAACTTTGATATATTCGAAGTGGAAGGGTAGGGGGGTCCACATCAGGCGCCATACTGTGGCAAGTATCGGAACCATACGTGACCTGCAACTTTCCCGTTTTGCCTCTTTCATCTGGATGTCGATTTTAATGTTTTTTTTTCTTCTTCTCCTGTATTTTTTTTCATCGAAAACAAAAAAAAAATTTTTTTAAATTTCTGTTTAAGTTCAATTTTTAAAATTTAATATTAAAAAAAGTTTACTAAAAAAAGAGTTCATAAAAATATTTTATTTTAAGATCAATTTTTGTTCTAAAAGTAACTTTAGTATACTTAGTGGCTTAAACTGATTTTAAGCTCAAAAATGGGCTGAAAAAGTATAAACTTTTTATTTTTACTTTAAAAATTGTTCCTTTATAGTCTTTATCCTTTTCTTCTCGTAATAAATGATAATGTAGAAAAACATCTAAAAAAGTTTAAGGTTGAAAATTGTATTATTTTAAAATAAAGTTGAAAATAGTGTACAAAAATTTTTAAATTTAACTTTTTTCAAAAATACTTGAAACAGATTAAAAATAATTAACAAAATTTTTATTTGTTGATTCATTTAATTTTTAAAATCATCTGTTTCTTTTAAATGGAAAATAATTAAAAATTTATTAAGAAAGTTTAGTATAAAGCTAAATTTAGGCCTCGGATTGACTTTAAGGGGAAAAAAGTCGCCTTAGTCGATAAAAATCCAAAAAATTCGTTTACTTAATTCAGTATCGTCACAAAAATTTTATTTTGTATTTCCCTGATTTTTCCCTTTCACTGATTTTTAAATTCAATTATTCAAAACTTCAATAATTTCGTTAAATAAATATTTAAATTATTCTTATTGGTTTTTCCACGGCAAATAAAAATTTAAAAAATTTGAATTTAAAACCTTTCGAAATTTAATAACTTCTAAAAATTCCAATTTCTTACAAAATTCAATTATTTTGCGAATGTTTCTCAAAAATTCAATTATTTTAACATAAAAATACAATTATTTATAATAATTGTAACTGTTAACTTTTTTTTTTTGTTTATTAACTGTTGTTAATTATTTTTTTAAAAACTTAGTAAGATAAAATATTTTCAAAAAATTATAATAAAAAAGTTCTTAAAATTAATTTCTAAAAGATAATATTTTAAATAATTTATATAATATTTAAAAAAAAAATTGTTTCTCATTTATACATAATTGAAAAATTTTCAAACGATTCCAATTTTGTAAAATTTTTTTTAAATAATTGAAATTTGATAAAATTTTTTATAAATAATTGAATTTTTTGAAAAATATAGAAAGCAATATTCAAAGTATGAAAAATTATAAACATGAACATGATATCTACGAAATTTTAAGTAAACGAAAGTAAATTTAAAAAAATTTTAATTTACCTTATTTGAAAATAATCTATAAGTCTTAAGGGCATTTGAACCTTGATGACGTTACAGATTGTGCAAAGCATGTGTGACGTCATCAAGGTTCAAATGCCCTTAAGAAATTAGGATAAAACAATTCTAAGAATTAGTTTTTTAAAAATATTGTAATTTAATTTTTCGAAAATAGTTGAATTTCTTAAAAGAATTTGTGTACCATTTAAGAAAAAAAGTAATTTTTTGAGGAATTTTAATTAAACATTTTTATTGTTTTCTCCAAAATGTTAAAAATAATGCGAAAAAAATTTTAATGTTATAATTTTTGTATGTATTGGAATTTTCCGAAATATGTATAATTGAAAATTATTGAAAATAATTGAACTTTGAAAAATTAGAATAAAAAAATTCTGAATGAATTGCTGTTTCTAAAATATTTTAATATAATTTTTAGAAGCGAATTTTTATTTTTAAACTTACATCTTGAAGATTCGTCAGTTAAATTTTTGAGAATTCAATTCTTTTCAAAATTTGCATTTGAAATTCTTCAAAAATTGTTTTTCGAAAAATTTTAATAAAATAATTTAAAAAATCAATTTTTTTCAATTAAATGTTACAAAACTTCAATTATTCAAAATCTTTATAATTTTATGTTTCGAAAATTTTTGAGAATTCAATTCTTATCAAAATTTGCAATTTAAATTCTTCAAAAGTTGATTTTCAAAAAATTATAATAAAATATTTGAAAAAACCAATTATTTTCAATTTTTACAAGATTTCAATTATTCAAAATCTTTTTAATGCTACGTTTTCAAAATTTTTGCGAATTCAATTCTTATGAAAATTTGCAATTTAAATTCTTTAAAAGTTGATTTTCGAAAAATTATAATAAAATATTTGAAAAAACTAATTATTTTGAATTAAATTTTACGAAATTTCAATTATTCAAAATCTTTTAATTCTATATGTTTTGAAAATTTTTTAGAATTCAATTCTTTTCAAAACTTGCATTTTAAATTCTTTAAAAGTTGATTTTCGAAAAATTATAATAAAATACTTGAAAAAATTAATTATTTTCAATTTAATTTTACAAGATTTTAATTATTCAAAATCTTTTTAATTCTATGTTTCGAAAATTTTTGAGAATTCAATTTTCCTATCAAAATTTGCAATTAAAATTCTTTAAAAGTTAATTTTTAAAAAATTGTAATAATATAATACTTGAAAAAATCAATTATTTGCAATTAAATTTTACAAGATTTCAATTATTCATAAATTTTTTTAATTTTTTATTATAAAAATTTAATTATAAAAATTATTCAAAAACAATTTTTGAAAGATTATTTTGCACACGATAAAAATCGAAATAAATTGCTTTTTATACTAAAAAATGTTATTTTTTTGCAATATTTGGAAAAAAAGTAGAAAAAGTCGCAATTTTTGAAAACAAGTCGAAAAAGGTCGCATTTTTTGAAAATAGTCGAAAATAGAAAAAGTTATAATATCGAAGGACTTTAAATTTTAAAGTTATTTACAAAATTTGTATTTGATGCATAATTAATTTTTTAAATTATCCTTTTTTCTTCGTAATCGAAAATAAATTAAAATTTATATTCTTGTATTTGCAGAAAATTAGAAAATTAATAAATAACAATTTTTTCTGAAAATTTCAAGGAGATTGGTAATGAAGAAAATCAAGAATATAAATTGGAACAACATTTATTATTGACAAATATTTATTTCTCATACAAAAATCAATTCTTACTTCTAGTTTTTCACTAAAATTAAATGTTGACATTCTTAAATTATTAATGACATAATGATGTATAGTATGACATACAGATATATATATAGCATATGGTATAAAAAATATGCATAGTATTTTATAAAAACAATGATTATAATTTACAATTAATAGTAAATTTACGAATTTATCTATAATTTAACTTTTAAATATATTTATGTACACAAAAAAAAAGACTTAGAACGGAATACAAATTTTTCTTTCATAATTAAAACTATATAAATATTTGTGACTGTATTTATAATCTAACTCTACACAAAATATTTTAATATTCAAATAAGTATTAATTATACAATTTTTACAATGTAAAATACAAGTACCCTAAAATTTTTGAATTTTTAATTACAATATTTACAAGAAGGTCTTAGAACCAAGAATTTAGAAATACTAATTATTTTTCACAAGTTGCAGATTTAAAAAGAAATTTTGGGTTTTTTCAGGGTAAAAAATAAATAAAATGTGATAGTAATAATTTTTAAAACAGCTATGTTGACTAGAGACAAAAAAAACGAAAAAAAAATTAACAAACTTCCTCACAAATGTCTGTTGATGGAAAATTTCAATATTTAAAGTTCGGTAAAATTGCCACAGTTTTCATTTTGAAATTCATTAAATTTTCCCAAATCGTATGCAAATGTATGATCATCATAAGGAATTGATGCAAAAGACATAAATTGATTTTGATTATTTTGACAGACCTGTGGTTGTTGATAGCGACAGCTGGACATTACTTCTGATGGTACTTCAAAATAATCGTGTTGAGGAATTTGATAATTATTTTCGCTCAAATAATTATAATTAAATACTTGCTGTGGAATGACAACGGCGGGCATTGTTGTTCTCTCGCTGGCAGTTTGATGATGATGAAGATGATGATGTTGTTGTTGTTGTTGTTGTTGATGATGATTCTGCCACGTTGATTCCATCAATTGATTGCTGATATTTGCGAATTCAGATCTTGCCACCTGAATATTTGGCGTGTGCTTTATATTCTCAATTTTTGGATTGACGACGGCGCATTGTTTTTTTTCGGTAACAATGGTGACGGTCGTTTTGCTCTCCTTCTTCAACTTCATGCGACGATTTTGGAACCAAATTTTAATTTGACGCTCGGACAAATCCAAATGACGGGCCAATTCAATCCGATGAGTGCGATGAATGTAATGAGAATTGGCAAATTCCCTCTCCAATTGAATGAGTTGTTCGCTCGTGAATGCGGTCCTTGGACGTTTCTTCCTTGGCTCGATTTTCGATTCTGAAATTTCAAATGAAAAAGGATTTAGAATTTTGTTTTTTTTTCACTTTTCTGGTGTAAATTAATTATTAATGTGAAATATTTTATTTGACAGGAAAATATTTAATAATATTTTCTTTGACAACAAAATATTTAACAATATTTTATTTTACAACAAAATATTTAATAATATTTTATTTTACAACAAAATATTTTATTTGATAACAAAATATTTAACAATATTTTATTTGACAACAAAATATTTAACAATATTTTATTTTACAACAAAATATTTTATTTGATAACAAAATATTTAACAATATTTTATTTGACAACAAAATATTGAACAATATTTTATTTTACAACAAAATATTAAACAATATTTTATTTGACAACAAAATATTTAACAATATTTTACTCGACAACAAAATATTTAACAATATTTCTATTATTTATTTATTTCAATAAATTATTTAAGTGGAATATTTTATTTAACAAACAAAATATTAAAAAAAAATTCAATTACTGGTTTGAAGAAAAATACAAACATAGAAAAAAAAGAAAAATAATAAATAAATAAATTTTCGTAAAACTTAAAAATCGTAAATAAATAAATATGAAAAAAATTAGGAATAAGTACAAAATAGTAAATGAGTAAAACAGGAAATAAGTAAAAAAATAAGTAAAATAAAAAAAATAGTAAAAATAGTAAAAACATAAGTAAAATAGTAAAAATTGTAAAAATATAAGTAAAATAGTAAAAATTGTAAAAATTAGTAATAAAATTAGTAAAAACAGTGAAAAATCTTAAAAAAAAATAATAATTGAGTAAAAAGTGATAAATAAAATAAATAAATATAAATACACACCTTTAGAGTTCGTTTGACGATGATTCGTAATCGATTGAGGAGAAAAATTCGCCATCGCCCGTTGATTGACCGGACAATAATTAATCACCGGCACGAATCTTGAATTTCCAAATTCCTGATAATCATGAGGTGGAGTGGGCGGCAGAACTGCAGCCACTTCAAAATTGCAGAGGACATTTTCATCATTCGATGAAGATGAGAATGAACTGAATCCCAAATCACTGTTGTTGAAGGCCATTTTTTCCTCGATTCTTTTTTTCAAATTTCTCAAAAAGTCACTTGTGTAAAATATTCAAAAAAAAAATTTTTGATCAATAATCAAAATTTTATCAAAAGTTTATAAAAACTTTATAAAAACTTTATAAAAACTTTATTAAAATTTTATCGAAGAAAATTAACACTTTGTTAATTAACAGCACACTTTGAACTTTTTCGAAAACAAAAAGAATTCGTTTCTTTTAGAACAAGAAATTTGAGATTGAAAATAATTTTTTGAAGAGCAATGAGAGAATATTAGAGAGAAGGCAAGTAATCTGTGTCAGCTAAAACTTTGCGTTGCAAGTAATGATACTTTTTGGGTAAATACCCCTGGTTTATATACCATTCACCCCCACTAGATTCCAATTGGGCCTTAAAGCAAGTGCAAGTGCAATTGACCACTGAGCAAATTCTTAGTGCCAACCCACTAAAATCTAGGAGCCAATAGAAATCGGTAATTTCTAATACTCACTTGCAGACACGGACCCCAAACTGCGAAAATAGTTGTTCATTAGTCGGGCGCCAAATATACTCATTAGCTTCCATTTCACAGACATTGTAAATCCAAAGGCGTCTGTTTTCATCTTTCACTCGCTTTTTTTTAAATAATAAAAATTTATTTTTTAATTTTACCAAAATAAAAATCACTTTTTTAATTTACATAAATAATAATTATTTATTTCATTTACAAAAATAATAATTACTTATTTTATTAGTTAAATAATCCTTAACGTCCGAGATCCTTTATAAAGGATATTATTCGTTTAATTTGCCTTAATTTACTTATTTCATTTTAATAGCAACTTTTTTTATTTTTAGACAATAAAATAGTCCTTTTAATTTTATTAATATTAATTAATAAAAAATTAAAAGTACTTTTATATCTTTTTAATCGAATAGAGAAAAGAATTTTAATAATTATCTATTTATTCACTTGTAATTATTAGTTAATTATTTACTATTCTCTTTTTCTTCTCTACAATATTTATTATACGAATAAATAACTAAAAAGAAGCTGATTTCTTATTTGTAACTAATTATTTGCTACTCTCTTTTATTGTCTATAATATTTATTTTGAATAAATAAACAGAAAAAAAGTTCTTTTTTTTAATTAATTATTTATTACTCTCCATTTGTCTATAATATTTATTTTGAACAAATAAATAAAGAAACTGGTACTTTTTTCAATCAATTTTCTATTACTGTTTTATTTTTATCGACAACAATTTACAAAAATAAAAATTACATTCTTTTCACTTTTAGCAATAATATTTATTTTTAATAAATAAATACAAAAAAAAACCAAAAATCACTTTTATAAAGTGTAATAAAAAAAAATTAATCAAAAAATTAATAGAAATAAAAAACTGAGTTGTTACTTTTGTGAAATATGTATAATGGAGAAATAAAGAGAAAAAAATTAAGAGCTTTTGAAACATTGTTGATGGATAATAGTTAGATAATGAAAATACACAAATATTTTTGTTGATTTTCAATTATTTAATACACGTATTTACAAACATGTTTTCCTGCAAGAATCTCCATGAGTCTCAAAATCACAATCGAAAAAGTTATTACAATGAAAAAAAATTCTCTTGCAATGTAATTGGTTTATTTTCCATTCATAAATTAATTTTAAAAAAAATTGTATGAAAAATTTTTCAACTAATTTTTACAAAAAAAATACCTTTTAAAGTATAATCAATAAATTATTCATTTCTTTCTAAATTTCACGGGTATTTCAAGTTTTTATGAAAAATATTTTAGTGAACATTATTGAAAATAATAATTTGCAAATAATTAATAATAATAATAATAATAATAATAAAGTACATGTTCCGGTAATTTGCTCGCAGTTTGAAGTTTGTTGTTTGCTTTTTCGTTTCTTAACATATTTTATAATTCTTCTTTTCAAATATTTTCAATTTTTAAATTAAATGTATTGAAAATCATCGAATTGTTGCAAAGAATTTTATCAAAAAATTTGATAATAATAGAATTCCTTCAAAGAATTTTATAATTTAGGAAAATAACTGAATTCTCGCGAAGAATTTTATTAAAACTTTTAAAAATCTTAATTAAATTCTTTTGAAGAATTTCATTGAATTTTTTTAAAACTAATGGAGTTTCTTTAATAATTTAAATTGAAAATAATTGAATTCTTGCGAAAAATTTTACTATTTATAAAAATAATTGAATTCTTCGGAAGAATTTATTAAAATTTTAGAAAATAAATGAATTTTACGTTTTTTTTTTGAAAATTTAAATTCTTTCGAGGAATTCTATTAAAATTATTTTGAAAAGAATTAAATTTCTGCAAAGGATTTTACTATTTATAAAAATAATTGAATTATTGCAGAGAATTTTTCTATTTATAAAAATAATTGAAATTTTTCGAAGAATTTATTAAAATTTTAAGAAATAATTAAATTTTTATGAAGAATTTTATAGAAATATTTAAAAATAATGAAATTTTTTCGAGGAATTCAATTAAAGTTGTTTCGAAAATAATTGAATTTCTTTAAAGAATTTTATTAAAATTAAGTATATTCAAAATAATTGAATTCATCACAAAAATTTTATTATTTTTTGAAAATAATTAAATTCATTCAATTTATAATTATTATTATAGAGAATAATTATTTTTATAGAGAATTTTAAATTCTTGTTGAAATTGAATTTTATGGAAAATCTTAAAAATAATTAAATTCTAGCGTGTAATTTTATTAAAATTTTTGAAAATATGAACAGTAATAATTAATTTTGTACTTAATAAATGAATTATTTAAATTTTGATTATGAAATTATTTAAAAAATTTATATTTGAAAATAAATATAAATAATAATTTTGTAATTTTTGCATAACAATAATAAATTTAATATCACGTTCCGCGCGCGAATATTAAACAATTAAAAAAAGTGAATTCCTTTGAATACGGTAAATTACGATTAAAAAATAGGGTGGAATTAAAAATAAACTGAGAAAAAATAAATATATGGTAAAAATGGTATTGTTAATAATAATAATAATAATACCTAATTTATTATTAAATTATTTAAAATTATTTATATTTATATATTTATATTTTTAAATTAAAATATTTATATTTATTATTTTATACATATTATGTATAATAATTATAATAAAGAATAATAATAAAAAATAGAAAAATAAAAAAATAATAACAGTGACTTGAAATATTACCAAAAGTTACTGCGATAAAAAAAGTGAAATATTTTGTTTTTTTCTTTTTTTTTTTTGTTAATATTTTCTTCTTCATTTTTTTTTTGCGATTTCTCGTCGATCTTTGCTTCTGGAAAGGAACGCAGCGCATCACCGCAGAAAAAAAGGGGAAATCGAATAAGAAGGGTGAATTTCAACCCTCGAAACGAAGAGGGTGAAAATCAGAAAAATCGGGTAAGCTGCAAGACAGTTCTCTCTCTCTCTCTCTCACTTTCTTTTGTGGATGTGATATCCTGAAGGAAGGAAATCGCAAAAATCGAGAGAGCTGTGAGTTTGGGAATTTATACTAACAGTAAAAAAAGGCGAAGAAGGAGAAAAAAGAAGAGAAAGAAAAAGAGAAAAATTGAGAAATCGAAAAAGAAATAAAAAAAAAACAAAGAAATTATAGTGGACGAAATGGAAAGACTGGAAATCAACTGACAGGAAAAGGATAATCAATCTCATCCTTTTGCATCTCGAGACATAAACTGGACCTTTCTTTCTTTTCTTCTCTCTATATCGACTTCCTTTTTTTGTCCCGTTTTTCTCTCCTTTTGTATATTTTTCACCTTTTTCTCATATTGACAGAATTCTCCAGTGTTTTTCTTCTGCTTTTACAAAAAAAAAGAAAACTAATATAATTTGCTTTTTTTTAATAAAGAAAATTTTAAAAACGAATTTAGATATTTGCTGTACTTTTTGATTTTTTTCATTTAGCAAAAAAGAAACGAATTTTGACTTCTCTTACACTTTTCGTAGAAATAAATTTTAATTTTTCCACACTTTTTGATTTTTTTTTTTTTTTTTTTTAATTAAGAAAAAAGAAACGAATTTTAACTTCTGTTACACTTTTTGACAAAAATCTAAGAAATGAATTTCGATTTTTTCTTACACTTTTCGAGTTAATTTGCCATTAGGAAAATTTTAAATGTGAAAAACAATTTGATTTTTGTAACCCATTTTGAGTTACACTTGCATTTTTTTGAGGATCATTTCGGAGTTTATATCTTATCTGTAATCTTTTGTTTTTGAACTAATTACAAAAAAAAGGACTTATCTGGAGAAAATTTCACTCTAATTTCCAATATACAGAATTATCATTAAAATTTTCGAGTTTTGAAAACTTGCTTTTAAATGACATAAAACTGTGAAACTCATTAAGAGTTCGTTGCACTAATTAGAATTTATAAAAAAAAACTTCACAAAAAAAATTGATGTGTCACTGAAAATAGTCGAGAAATTTGAAATTTCTTTTTTATTTTATCATTTTTATTTCGTTTCAATCTATTTATTCACTTTATTAATAATATATCCATAATTTATTTATTTACGTTATGTATAAAACATTTATAATCTAATTATATATTTTATATTCATAAAACATTTATAATATAATTATTTAGATACTTTTATTTATATTAATAGAATTTTGCGTTCAAATTATAATTTAACGAATTAAAGGGATTTTATTTGATAAAAAATAACAAAATTTTTTTAACTTTATTTATAATTTTTATTTATTTTCATTTATTTCTATTTTTTCATACAAAACACACATGTTACATGACAATTAATTCATTCACGAAAAACAATTAAATTTGAATCATTCACTTATTAATAATATTCTTAGAAAAAATATTGTTTGTGATTAAACAACTATTCAAGCAATAAATAAACGATATTGAAGAAAAATTCCCTCTATGGTAATTAAAACTATTTAAATTAATTAATAATAATAATCTATTAATTAAAACTATTTCTATTTTGATTTTTTTCAAAATATTTTTTCAATTTTTGTTACATTTTTTTAACACTATCAAAATTTAATTTAATTAATTTGTTTATTTCTTGTTTTTATCATTATTTTTCGTTTATTTTATTTTTTATTTCTTTTGAAATAAACTATCATTCATTTTCAATTTGTTCAATCTCAGACGTTAAAGATTAATGAGATAATTTTTAATTTTATTATAAACAAATATTTCCTTTTTTATTAATTTAAATAAATTATAATATTAAGTTAGAAATTAAAATACAAGTCATCGAGTTGAATTTTATTATTAATTTTAAATTAATTAGGTTAATAAATTAAAATTTACTATTAATTTATATCTATCTCCATGATTTCGGAAACGATTTTTTATCTGCCTATAAATATATATTTACGTTTCTTTTGTTATAAATAATATACTTTATAATATATATTTTCAAAAATAAATATTGAAAGTATATCAAATATTTTTAAATAAATTTTCTCGCACGTAAAATATAAAAAATCCTAAAATTACTTTAGGACATATTTACGAAAGATTATTGTACTAAATTATTATTATTGAACAATAATAATATTAAGTATTTTCTATTGTAGAATAAAATAAATTATTTTTATTCTTCTTATTATTAATTTTATTATTATTTTTTGCATTGTTATTTTTTATTATTATCAGGCCTGATTATTATTATTATCTAATTTTCATTAACCTTTTTTTACACAGTTTTCTTGAAAGTATCAAATTGATACCAAAAATTTGGATCAATTTTTAATTTGATCTGCATTTTTTGTATCAGTTCGTTGCAATTTGATACTTTTTAGTTAACAGTGTAATTAAATTAAATTTATTTTTTTAATTAACTTCTTTTATTTAACTTTTTTTACTTAATTTTTTCTATTTAACTTTTATTATTTAATTTTTTTTTATTCAACTTTTTTTATTTAATTTTTTTTTATTTAACTTTTTCCAATTTTTGTTTGAATTTAATTTTAATCTAATCACTAAAACTAAAACAATTATTTCCCCTTATAAAACAGTTAGATCGTTGCAATTTTCACTTTGCAATTCATAACAATATTTTCCCACATCCTGAGAAAGTTGATAATGCTGATAGGGATATTGTTGATGTTGATAGGAGGTTGTATATTGACCTGGATGATGTTGCCACACTTGTGGTTGAGAAAAATAATTATCCCTAACACTTGGAATTTCATAGTAATCATTTGCCTGCGATGTCTGATAGACAGTTGATGAATCCAAATAATGTTCATTGTCCTTAAAATTTTGCGTCGAATGGTCAGAATTATTTTCAACAATTAAATTTGTTTTTAAAGTGGAATTTCCAATTGTATAGGAAGATGGATAACCATATTGATTGCTTGAACTTGTATAATCGCGACGCATTGATGAGATGTCGGGAATTGTTTTAACATTCAATTGCTGTGGCGATGATGAGGATGATGATTCAATGAATGAATCCTTAATAAATGTTTGGCCGGTGGATTTATTGATTTGTTCTTTTTTATATTTCATACGACGATTTTGAAACCAAATTTTTATTTGACGCTCGGAGAGTCCCAAGGATGTGGCCAATTCAATTCTTCTTGCACGATGCAAATAGCGGGCGTGATGAAATTCTTTTTCCAATTCAATTAATTGTCCGCTTGTGTAGGCGGTTCGGGATCTTTTGCTCTTTCCTTGTTTCTTCTGTGCGTCTGCAAAAAAAAGACGAAGAAAATTTTTTAATTTTTTTAAATTTAAAAACAAGTATTTTTAATTTAAATTCTCCCAGAATTTTTCACGAAACAATTATCAATTCAAGTATTTAAAAATTTTTTAATTTAAAAAATGTATTTTTAACTTTATCTAAACAAATCTTTTTTAAACTTTTCTGAAGTTGAAAATAATTATTCTTTCTCTATTTTATATTATTTTGTTCTTTAAATCTTTTCTAAAAACATTATTAATACAGAAATGATCAAAAATAATTTGAAAACAGTTGAAAATAATTGTAATAAATTAAAAAAAATTGAAAACAATTCAAGAAAAATTGAAAACAATTATAATTTAATAGAATAGAATTGCAAAAAAAAATAATTAAAATAAAATGAAATCAACTATAATAAATTAAAAACAATCGCAAGAAATCGCAATAAATTCATAACAATTGAAAATAATTGTACCAATTGTACTAAATTAAAGACAATTGTAACAATTGTAATTAATTAAAAACAATAGAAAACATTTGTAATTAATTAAAAACATTTGTAATTCATTGAAAACAATTATAAACGATGGTAACAAATTGAAAACATTTGAAAACAATTGTTATAATTTGAATGCAACTGTACTAAATTAAACACAATTAAAAACAATTATAATAAATTGAAAACAATTGAAAACAATTGAAAACGATAGTAACAAATTGAAAAAAATGTAATAAATTAAAACCAATTGTAATAAATTGAAAACAATTGAAAACGATGGTAACAAATTGAAAAAATTGTAATTAATTAAAAACAATTGAAAACATTTATAATAAACTGAAAACAATTGAAAACGATATAGGAATAAATTGAAAACAATTGACAACGATGGTAACAAATTGAAAAAAATTGAAATAAATTAAAAGCAATTGAAAACAATTGAAAACAATTGTAATAAATTAAAAACAATTGAAGACGATGTTAACAAATTGAAGACAATGATTATAATTTGTATACAACTGTAATAATTGAAAACAATTGTTATAATTTGTATGCAAATGTAATTCATTAAAAACAATTGAAAACAATAGTAACAAATTGAAAAAATTGTAATTAATTAAAAACAATTGAAAACAATTATAACACATTGAAAACAATTGAAAACGATGGTAACAAATTAAAAACAATTGTTATAATTTGTAAGCAATTGTAATAAATTAAAAACAATTAAAAACAATTATAATAAATTAAAAACAATTGAAAACGATGGTAACAAATTGAAAAAAAATTGAAATAAATTAAAAACAATTGAAAACAATTGTAATAAATTAAAAACAATTGAAAACGATAGTAACAAATTGAAAAAAATTGTAATTAATTAAAAACAATTATAATAAATTGAAAACAATTAATAACGATGGTAAAAAATTGAAAACAATTGAAATAAATTAAAAACAATTGAAAACAATTGTAATAAATTAAATACAATTGAAAACAATTATAATGAATTAAAAATAATTGTTATAATATATATGCAATTGTAATAAATTAAGTACAATTGAAAACAATTATAATGAATTGAAAACAATAAAAACGGTGGTAACAAATTGAAAACTATTGTTAAATATGTATGCAATCGTAATAAATTAAATACAATTGAAAACAATTATAATAAATTAAAAACAATTGAAAACGATGGTATCAAATTGAAAACGATAGTAACAAATTGAAAAAAATTGAAATAAATTAAAAACAATTGAAAACAGTTGTAATAAATTGAAAACGATGGTAACAAATTGAAAATAATTATTAAAATTTGTATACAACTGTAATAATTGGAAACAATTGAAAACAATTGTTATAATTTGTATGCAATTATAATAAATTAAATACAATTGAAAACAATTATTACAGTTGTAAACAAATTTTAAACATTATTTTCAATTTGTTACCATCGTTTTCATTTGAAAACATTTATAATAAATTGAAAACAATTGAAAACGATGGTAATAAATTGAAAACAATTGAAAACGATGGTAATAAATTGAAAACAATTGAAAACGATGGTAACAAATTGAAAAAAATTAAAATAAATTAAAATCAATTGAAAAAAAATTATAATTAATTGAAAATAATTGTTATAATATGTATGCAATTGTAATAAATTAAATACAATTGAAAACAATAAAAAAAGTGGTAAAAAATTGAAAACAATTGTCAAACTTTGTATAGAATTGAAAACAATTGAAAACAAATTGAAAACAATTGTTATAAGTTGTATGCAATTGTAATAAATTAAAAAAAATTGAAAACATTTGGAATGAATTGAAAACAATTTGTAAACGATGGTAACAAATTTAAAACAATTGATAACAATTGTAATAATTTGTATGCAATTGTAATAAATGAAAAACAATTGAAAACGATGGTAACAAATAAAAAACAATTGTTATAATTCAATGCAATTGAAATAGAATAACAATATTGTAAATAATAACGAAATAATGAAAATAATGAAATAATATCAAAATAAAAATAGTTAATTAGAATTACACCCACTCGAATTAATTTCTAATTACAATTACAATAATTACAGAAAAATCTAATTATTCCAAATTCTAATCATCATATTTACAATACACCTCTGAAATTATTTAAATCGAATTTCTATTTATCATTTTCCTAATATAATAGAAAAATATTGACTACAATTCACAAACAATGAAATTTTCAAATAAAATCTTTCAAAATATTTTCATTTACCCACAAAAACATTTAATATCGAAAAATAAATATTGATCATCATTTAATTTACCTGAATCTTGACTCTCGTATAATTTCTCCGTTGAAAATGAATGTTCGCCTTTTATTTTCGCATCGTCCTTATCCATATTCATATTTTGATCAGTCTTCATCTCCCAGGAATTAATAATTTGCTCATTGAAATTAACAATTTTTTCACTTTGTCCATAATTTCGATATTCAGTTGACCAACTTGTCATTGATGTACCGGAATTATTATCACTTATTGGCGATGAGGATGGATGAATTGTATGTACAACGGAATTACGTAATAAATTTTGATTCACATTCGAATGACCCAATTCCATTAGGGATATTGCCGCTTTTTCCTTTTGATTTGTTTCATCGATATTATTGTTTATTTGCGATATAACGGAAGTTGAATTTGTGACATGCGTTTCCCTTATCACTCCTTCGTTAACGGACATTTTTACCTTTTTGTCTTTTAAAAATTATTTTTTTTTTAAAACTATTTTTTATAAAAATTATATTTTTTTAAAACTATTTTTTAATAAAAATTATTTTTTCGCTATTAAAATTTTTTTTACACTCCACACTTTTTACACTTGAATTTTTTTTTACAAAATTTCTATATTTTTGAATCAAATTTATTTTCTTTTCTCTCGATTTGTATAAACGTTCACTTTTAGTTTCGTTATATTTTGCAATTTGGGAGAAAATATTTGGTATATTTGGAATTAAAATAATTTTTCTCGAAAGGAATAACAATTTTTTTTTTTTTGGTAAAAATCACTTTTGGTCAAGACGAGGAAGTAATCAATCCAATTCAAGTGCTTGTAGTTGTACGACTAACTCGAAAGACTTTTGGAAAGTTTAAAATTAAATGACAAAATTATTACCTCAGTCTTAACGTAAACTTAATGTCCTCATTATCGTTAAAAAATTTTTAACTTTGACTTATCGACACTACTCATATAATATGTGTCGAAGAAAAATATTTTCCTCAACTTTAATGTGTATTTTCTGATTGTATCGAAATTTCAAGTTATTACACTCTTCTTTGTTAACTATAAACGTGAAAAATATTTTTTCTTTTTCTTAAATTCGTTAATTTTTCTATTTACTACTTCAGAATCTGAAAAATTATTCCCATAAAGTTAATTTGCTTTTCTCGAAAAAATGTTCATGAAAAAAATTACTATTCAGGGGGTCGATTACGTAATTTGATTTTTACTTTGACTTTCATTTCCACTTTCACTTTTACTAGGATAGATTTTTTTTTACCTTTATTATCACTTTGATGGATTTTTATTTTTTTTTACTTTTATTTTCATTTTCAGCTTGATAAATTTTTTTTCACTTTCACTTTGATAGAAAGTGAAAATAAAAATCAAAGTGAACGTAAAAGTGTAAATAAAAATCTATCAAAACTGAAAATAAAAATTCAAGAAAAAGGAAATGAAAATAAAAATAAAAAACTTTTACTTTCATAGATTTTTATTTATTCTTTCACCTTTATTTTCACTTTCACTTTGATAGAAAATGGAAATAAAAGTGAGTCAAAATAAAAGTAAAAGTGTAAAAAAAATCTATCAAAGTAATAAAAATAAATAAAAATTTGGTAGGTACTAAATTAAATAAAATAAAAAAAATAACAAAAATTGTTTCTAAAAAATAAAAATAAATAAAAATTTGATACTAAATTAAATAAAATTTTAAAAAAATTTTTAAAATCTGGTAATAAATCATATTTTCCAGTTTGATAGGGGAAATACAGAAATTTTTACAATTAGTGAAAAAAAAGTTCCAGTTTATGGCATACGTTCGCTCGTGCTTCTTCTTTTTTTTAAATAGAAAACCCATCAAGCTCTACAAAGTAGTTAAAAACATTGTTGTCGGAAATAGAGATGAGACATCGATATTTGGCATCAATGTTCTGAAAATATGGAAAATGACGGTAATGATTTGTCGTCCGCAAGTGTATTCATCATTTAAAAATCAAGATTCTAGAGATGATGAGCTATTATATATCTATATGTAATCTCATCAGTCTGCCTCGTGCCAAAGCATTGGATCATTAAACTAAAATGCAAGAAAAAGGCTTATTTGAAATGGAGAAACCATAAAATAATTAACTTCTGCCAATGCTGTATACAACATTAAAAAGTAATTTTTCAATCTAGTAAACACAAAATTTTATATACAAATTGGATTAAACAACTTGTTTTTTTCGACTTTTATATTGGAAATTCAGTTTTATATACTGAAAAGAATTTTTTTTACTATTAATTAAGTATTAATTTTATTATTAATTTGACTATTAATTGTAATTAGTTTTTACTTTAAAAAAAAGAAAATAAAAATACATTGTAAGTATTTTCCCTTTTTTATTTGTATGTTCTTCGAACTAAAAATTAACAGTATTTTTTAATATTAACTGTACAATTTTTTACAATAGTTGTAAAATTTTTAAATTATTACAATTTAAACATTTTTTACTATTAACTGTAAAAAATTTTTGATATTAATTGTAATATAAATTGTTTTTACTATGAACTGTAAGAATTTGGTTTTAATTGTAATGTACTTTTTTTACAATGAACTTTAAGAATTTTTTGCTATTAATTGCACTGTCAAGTTTTTTGACTATTAACTGCAAGAACTTTTGCTATTAATCGTAATTTCAAGTTTTTTTACTATTAATTTTGTAAAGTAAATTTTTATTTTTACTACAAACTGTAAGAATTTTTTTTAATTGTAATATATACTTTTTTACAATGGACTGTAAGAATTTTTTGCTATTAATTGTACTGTCAAGTTTTTTGACTATATAAACTGCAAGAATTTGTTGTATAATCGTAATGTCAAGTTTTTTTTACTATTAATTGTAATGTAAATTTTTATTTTTACTATGAACTGTAAGAATTTTTTTTAATTGTATTGTATTTTTTACAATGAACTGTAAAAATTTTTTCCTATTAATTGGATTGTCAATTTGTTTGACAATTAACTACAAGAATTTTTTGCTATTAATTACACTGTCAAGTTTTTTGACTATAAACTGCAAGAATTTGTTGTATTAATCGTAATGTCAAGTTTTTTTTACTATTAATTGTAATGCAAATTTTTATTTTTACTACGAACTGTAAGAATATTTTTTAATTGTAATGTATTTTTTTATAATGAACTTTAAGAATTTTTTGCTATTGATTGTATTGTCAATTTTTTTACTATTAACTGCAAGAATTTGTTGTATTAATCGTAATGTCAAGTTTTTTTTACTATTAATTGTAATGCAAATTTTTATTTTTACTATGAACTGTAAGAATATTTTTTAATTGTAATGTATTTTTTTACAATGAACTTTAAGAATTTTTTGCTATTGATTGTATTGTCAATTTTTTTTTACTATTAACTGCAAGAACTTTTGCTATTAATCGTAATGTCAAGTTTTTTTTACTATTAATTTTGTAAAGTAAATTTTTATTTTTGCTATAAACTGTAAGAATTTTTTTTAATTGTAATATATACTTTTTTACAATGGACTGTAAGAATTTTTTGCTATTAATTGTACTGTCAAGTTTTTTGACTATAAACTGCAAGAATTCGTTGTATAATCGTAATGTCAAGTTTTTTTTACTATTAATTGTAATGTAAATTTTTATTTTTACTCTGAAGTGTAAGAATTTTTTTTAATTGTATTGTATTTTTTTACAATGAACTGTAAAAATTTTTTGCTATTAATTGGATTGTCAATTTGTTTGACTATTAACTGCAAGAATTTTTTGCTATTAATTGTACTGTCAATTTTTTTGACTAATAACTGTAAGAATTTTTTGCTACGAATCGTAGTGTCAAAATTTGTTTTACTATTAACTGTGCGAATTTTTGCTATTAATCGTAATGTCAAATTTTTTTACTATTAATAGTAAACATTTTTTGCTATTAATTGTAATGTAAATATTTTTTACTATAAACTGTAAGAATTTTTTGCTATTTATCATAAAGTCAAATTTTTTTTATTATTATAATTTATAGTTTTTTCACCATAAATTGTAAGTTTTAATTACTACATACTTTGTAGTAATTAAAACTGTAAGTTTCTTTTATTAATTGCAAAATTTTATACCCAGAAAAAAATATAGTTGTATATAACTCATAATTAATAAATTGTAAATTTTTTTACTATTAATGTAAGTCGTCTTGCTAGAAATTTTCAGTTTCTTTTTATAACAAATTCTTAATTTTTTACTACAAAGTGTAAATTGTTTTTACTATTAATCGTTAGTCCCTGTTACCAAAAATTGTAAGTTTTTTTTTACTATTTAACTGAAAGTTTTTCACTGTTCATTCTCAGTTTTTACTACAAATTGTAAAATTCTTTAATAAAAATTGTACTATTTTTTACAATAAATAGTACATTTCTACTATAAATTGAAAGTTTATTACTATAAAAAATGTAAAGTTCTTTAGTAATAATTGTACTATTTTTTACTATTAATAGTCAATTTTTACTACAAATTGTAATCTTTTCTACGTACTATTAATTGTACGATTGTTTATTATTTATTGTAAGTTTCTATACTATTTACTCTCAAATTTTTCCAAATAATTGTAATTTTTAGTGTTTTCACTATTAACAAAAAATATTGTTAATAGTTAATAATATTATTAATATAAATTGTAACTCATTTTTACTATAATTTTTATTTTTTTTATTATTCCTAATTGTAAGTTTTTTTAAAATTTTAATTGGAAGTTCTTTTTACTATAAATCGTAAGTTTCTTTAATAACAAATATACTATTTTTTACTATTAATTGTCAATTTTTACTATAAAAATTAAAATCATTTTCTATACTATTAATTGTACTATTGTTTATTATTTTCTGCATAAGTTTCTTTACTATTTACACTGACATTATACTGCTATAATTTATCAATTGACGATTTTTGACTATAAAATGTAAGCTTTGACTATTAATTGTAAATTCTTCTGACTATAAATTGTAATTTCTTCTTTACTATATTTAACTCTACGATTGTTTGCTTCTAATTATATTTTTTTTATTTTTTTTTACTATTAATTAATTATATTTCAATTATAAATTGTAAGTTTCTTTCGTAAAAATTAAATTCTTTACTATTAATAGTACGATTTTTTTACTATAAATTATTAGTTCCTTTACCATTAATAGTACGATTGTTTTCTATTAATTGTAAGTTTAATATTACAAATTCTAATTTTTTTTACTAATACACGGAGAAAAATATAAAGTAACTTTTACTACTTTTATAGTAAAATATTTCCGGTAAAGCATTTCTGGTAATTTTTACTATACTTTTGGAGTAAATTTTGCTACGTTCGAAGTAAATATTTGTAAAAATTAGTAAAATTTACTTGGAAAGTAGCAAAAATTTACTCCAAAAGTAGTAAAAATTACCAGAAATGCTTTAACGGAAATTTTTTACTATAAAAGTAGTAAAAGTTACTTTATATTTTTCTCCGTGTATAAATTGCAAGTTTCCCTAATAATAATTGTACTATTTTTTACAATTATAATTTTAATGTCAATTGACGACTTTTCACTATAAAATGAAAGCTTTTACGATAAATTGTAAGTTTTTTTTACTGTTAATTAAATTTTTCTACTACAAATTGTAAGTTTCTTTAATAAAAATTGTACTATTTTTTACAATTAATTGTAAATATTTACTATAAATAAATTCTAATCTTTTTTATACTATTAACTCTACGATTGTTTACTATTTACTGTATTTTTCTTCACTATTCATATACTAAAATTTTTGCTATTTGTAAGTTATAGTATTTTCACTATTAATTAAATTAATATTTGTAACACAAATTGTAAGTTATTTTTTACTATAATTTGTTAGTTTTTTTATTATTATTCGTCCATTTTTTACAGTTATGTAAAAGTTCTTTT